ATCCTTCACATGTCAACTTTAAATTGCTACAGATGCACACACGAACAAGCTCACGCCTGCATTCCTGACACAGGCTATTCCTGTGTAGTTACCATCAGCTTGGTAGTGTATTCAGAGGCCTAATGGATACTCTGCAAATAGGACAGATTGTAGCTGCCAGGTCCAAGATTGAAACTGGGTGGTCCAGGGCTGAGATGGGGGTCCTGGACTAAGTTCAGTCTACAGGAATATCAATTTGGTATATAAGTAGCCATGGTTTGGATAAACATCTGCCACTGGCCATTGCTGAAGATTTGTTCCCCCTTGGGTGGTATTGTTGGAAATACTGAGAGGTAGTGGTACCTCTGAGAGGCGGGTCTTAGTGGGAGGTTCTTAGGTCAGTTAGGGTGTGGCTTTAAAGAGAACTATGGGACGATTCACTTCTCTCTTCCATGACTGCCATGAGGGGAGAAGCTTCACTTTCCCATATGCTTCCTGCCATGATGTGCAGCGTGCTTCCTTCCATAATGAGCTGCCTTGCCACAGAGCCAATGTCCTGGGCCAACTGATCACAATTTGAAAACCCAAAACTTTTGAGTCAAAACAAATCTTTTTGTCATTTTATTATCTCAGTTTTTTTTTTTTTTGTAGTAGTGGAAAACTGACTAAAACCTGGCATTTTTTTTTTAACAGTTGACATTTTTCTTTCAGAAGAGACAACAAAATGGTCTTTCATTTCTCCAATACAACAGGAGGCTTCATCTCAATAGTGATGGTTCCTTAATGTAAGAGTCTTTTCATCCCACCCTTGCTCCCAAGTCTCCCTGTTGACAGTTTGTAACTGCCTGCTTCCCTTCTATACAATCTCTCTCTGTCCTCACATGCACTTGAGGTCATGGTCCCTCTTCTAGAGCCATTTTATGGTTCCCTAAGTATGCCTGAGATGAGTTCTGCATTCCAACTTATATGTTGAAAACTTAACCTTCAGAACCTTTGGGAATGGAGCCAGTATATTTTATAGAGGGAACTGATTCTGAACGACACTATTAGGATGTTTTCCAGTCCAGTACAACTGCTTTCCTTTTACAGATGAAAGCACACCTAGGGAGAATGCCATGTGAAGGCAGAGATAGCTACAAAAACAAAGTTAAGGAACTGCCCCAAATTTCCAGCACACCAGGGGATATGGTGTTGGGATGCCTTACCCTGCAGAGCCATGGGCCTGCCTTAGCCTGCAGATGGAGTCATTCCAACATCTTGCTCTCAGAGTTGGGGACAATATGTTTCTATTGTGTAAACTACTCAACTGGTGACACCTTGTTATTGCATCTCCAGCAAACAAATACTCCACATGGCTTAAATTGAGCCAGCATCTTCCTTTGATCACAGGGGAGATAAATAGGTACAGGTCTCTAACATGGGCCATCTTCAGTGCAGGGAAAGGGTCCCACAAGGAGAAAGTCCCCTTCCAAACTCAAACATTCCCCATTTCCAGAGCTTCGAACACAGCTGTGTCTAGTTACTAGTGCAGCCTCTGTCTACTGTGGCTCTGTGGGTGCTGAAAAATTTCTGGTCATCCATGACAGCAAAGAAGCTGACAGTTGATTTCTGAATGGGTGTTGGTATTTTTAGTTGTTAAAAATTACAGTGTGTGTGTGTGTGTGTGTGTGTGTGTGTGTGTGTGTGTGTGTGTACCACATTGGGGGTGGGGGTGGGGGTATGCCATGGTATGCATGAGGATATCAGAAGGCAACTTGTGGGAGACAACCCTCTCCTTCAACAATGTGGGTCCTTGAGATTGAACTCAGGTTGTCAAACTTGTTCTGAGCCATTCCACGGGCCTGGAGGAGGTATTTTAACAGAGGAGAGAGAAGCAGGTTGCTTTAACCCTCACCTACTGCCAAGCTGGATGTGGATTAGAAACTTCTGTGGCTACTGTGAGGCACCTTCTGCCTTTTGACTCTTCACAGGTTTTTCACCCCCATCTGATCCAAATGGCACAGATGACTTCGGGAGATGCTAAGTCTGTGGATCTTCTATTGGCAAATCTGGAATGCTGGCAGTCCCCCAAGGGCCTAAGGGCACTGGCTTTTTGTGACCAGAGGCAGCTCCTGTTTCAGTAGTTTAGCTCCTTTGTTCCTGACAACCCCACTGGCAGTGACCTGCAAACAGTCACTTCGCCAATCAATCAGCACCCCAAACTAGAACTAGAAGGGAAGAAACACGTTATCCCTTCCTGAGGAGGCCACTCTGACAGGGCACCCCACCTGTGAACTTTGAGAAGCATGGCTCCATCTCTCTCTCTCTCTCTCTCTCTCTCTCTCTCTCTCTCTCTCTGTCTCTCTCTTAATGGTAATGTTCTTGAAGTATTAAATTAGATTGGAAATAAAAGAAATTGAGCCATGTGGACAGAACATCATGTCAGGGAAGAGGTGAAGGAAAGCTGATTCTGAAAGAAAACAGGACAGCTAAGAGTTCAAGTCAAGGTGACCCCTTCTTAGGGATCAAGTTCAAAGCTCCCTAGAACGTATCTTACCCAGAGAGGATGTAGAATGGATTTGCACAATGGGTTTGGTCTTGGTTGGAGTGAGGGGATGTCCTGGGGTGTCTCTATTTTCCTTGACTAGGAGCCACTGGAAAGAAAAGTGTTGCTCACATAGTTTGGATAAGGGACCCATAGACCAATGGACCTTAATTATTCTCATCAATAAGAACTTTAGCATGCCCCTCACATGTACCATTTATGTATGTATGTATGTATAAATGTATGTATTTATGTATATATCTGCCTACTTACCTATTTGTACCATTTATGTATGTATGTATTTATGTATGTATTTGCCCACCTACCTACCTATTTAGACAAGATCAAATATAGTCTAGGTTGGCTTTGAACTTGCTTTGTAGTCAAGGATGACACTTTGAACCTCTGGTCCTCCTGCCTCCATCTCCTAAGAGCTGGGATTCCAAGTGTGTGCCACCATTCATGACTGTGTGCTATCAATTAATGGCTGATAAATAAAAATGAATTATTTCATGAATATGCCAAATACATTATAGTGAGGTATAGATAAAGAAATTAAGAAGAAGGAAATAATGAAAGTAGAAGTTCTACTGCTCCTGTCCCACTCCCCAGGGGACAGATTCTTTCGCTCCTGCCCTTGTTGCATTACCCTGGAATCCTGAGTCTGTATGCATAAGGAGCAGCAACAATGCATACCCTCTCATTCAGGTTCCCATTTCTAACCAGGGCACTCCATACTTCTCCAGCCATGGCTGACTGAAGCAGTCATTTGTTCTAAAAAGAAGCCTGATGATTTCTCGACGGAGTCAGGAATGTCTGCTCCAAAGCACCCACAAGGCAGTGCTAATGGAAGTTGACTGGTGACTTTCCTCAGCACTGTGACAAAAATACCTTACAGAAGGAAAATACCTTACTAAGGCAAGGAAGGGTTTCATTGGCTCCCAGTTACAGGCAGGGAAGCACGACTAAGGTCATGGCAGAGTGGCCCCATCTCAGTGGAGCAGGAAGCAGAGAGCTCTAACTAAAACTAGGCAATGACCTCAGCAACCCATTCCCCCCAGTTAGGCCCCACCCACTCTAAGGCTTCTGCATCCTTCCTAAACAGCACATCACCTGGAGACCAAGTATTCAAACAATCATGCCTGTAGTGGATACTTTACACTCAAACTCTAACCACAGAATAATAATCATGCTTTTTAGGTAGGAAGCTAACTTCCATGCTGGAAGGTTCTGCAGAAATTGACCTCACTGCACTCGGCTTACTGTCCCTCACTCTCTCTCCAGGATTAGCCTTGCATTGTTGTATTTTTTTTCCTTATGCTATTAAAACCGTCAGGCTAAAATATAGCTTTCTGTCTTGCTTATCTTCAGTGGCTTTCGTGCATTTCCAGTAGTATTTATATTTTGGAAAGAAGGACTGGAAGAAAGAGAATTTCTTGGACAACGGTTTGAACACAGAACTTTTCTAAATGTGGACAGCCATGTCTCTTCCCCTTTGGAGTTTTATGGCCATGGCTGCCAGAGTATTATGGTGGTGGGATATGCTTGTGTGTTCAGCATGAGAGGCTGGGTGAATTTTCTCTTTGGGAAGATGATCACACATGCATGTGCGCGTGCACACACACACACACACACACACACACACACACCCTCTCACACACACACACATACATAGAGGTAGTAAGAGCAAGTGCACAAGAAGATTATATGTGTGTGTTCTGATAATTTTGTTCTCTACATTTGAATACTGTGTTATACGGTACCAAATCATATCAGTGTTGACTGTTTCTCACAACCTGTGTAATTACCACAACACCCTCCAGTAAGGAACCAAGTTAATTATGAGAAAGAATATATAGTAATATGCAGTAATAGAAAAGAAAGTAATAGAAAACTAAGACAGTAACTGAAGTTCTCTAAGCCCGATGTCCTCAACGATGTCATTAACATGCCTCTCTTACAGGAAATTCAAAGAAAAAGTGATTTAATACATGTAATGTGAAATGCTTAGATGAATGCTTAAATGGGAAGTGTTCAATAAATGCTACCCAATAACATGTAAACTTAGACTTGGATGACAAACCTACATAAGAATGTAAGATATTACTACAACACAAAGCTATGTCTATGTTTTTAATAACCATACATACAACATTCATAACCATATGCACAACATTCAAGAAGCATCCCAGTAGCAATGAGGCATCACTACCAAACACTTGACTACATAACAGTGTGCTTTGACTGTTTCCATTGTTAACCAAACCACAACTCCTTCACATACCCTTGAATCAAGTGAAATGTCCAAGATTTGATTTAGGGAAGGGGAGGGACTACAAGCAATCTTAAGAACAAACTAAGATGCTATTCACTGGCTTTGTGTGTAGTCAGTTGCTAAGAGACACCAAGGAGCAGGCTGGAGATGGAGGCTGTAGACTTCTATTGGAGCCACAGAGCCTGTCCTGGGGTCAGAAGGGCAGGGGTGCTACTTTCCTACCTGGTGAGCTTGGTGCCGATCTGCTGTCTGAGCTCCAGCCGTTCCTCATCTGTTTGTCTGGGAAGGATGTTCTTCTCTTCTAGCTCTCGCTTTGAGGGCCTGTTGCTGAGTTTGATGGCTAAGGAGTCTTTCCTGCAGACCTTCATAGCCAGAGAGCCTGGAGGAGGGAAGAGTTAGTCAATTGACAGAGACACCCATCTGCTCGGATGCCAATGAGGCCAACCATGAGTGGGGTATGAAGCAAAAGGTAGGAAGACAGATGCAAAGGGCTTAATACCCAAGAACACTAAAGCCCGAGTTCCTAGTACTGCCGCCATTGTCACACTGTAGACACCTCACACGGTGTGGGACATATTGGGCAGGAAGGGGAGCCTGTGACTGGATCTCTCCCTTAGAAATCCCCAGCATGTGGCAACATCACAAAGGAGGTCAGGACCTGCTGTGCAGTGCCATAGAGAGAAGAGAAGCAGAGAGGACAGGGGTCTCAGCAACTAGGAAAGACTTCACAGAAGAGGGCTGCTGCCTGGAGAGAGGACACTCCCACAGGGGACAGGCTTGTGGGAATCCATATCTGCATATGTTCAGTGGTGACACAGATGCTAGGAACCCTCAGGAGACAGACAAGAACAGCCACCTGGAGCTCAGGGCATATGAAAGGAGAGGATATTACTACTGGGTGGTCAAGGTGGGGCCATTTGGGATGAGAGCAGAGCTGAGGACTGTGAAATGAGCAATAGTCTATACATCTGTGGCTTCAACCAGAGTTGATTTTGCTCTTTCGTGAGCAGCTGGAGGTATTTTGGGGGTGCTAAAGGTTAGGTGACCGTCCGGAGGCTGGTACTGCCATCTAGCTGGTGGAGACCTGGAGGCTGTTAATCACACTGTAATGCTCAGGACCACTTTCACAACAAAGAATGATATGGTCCAAAAGGCCAGTAGTGCTAAGGTGAGAAGCCCTGGCACACAGTCGTCTACTGTCAGGTACCACATGGTAGACAGGCTCAGTGGCTCCCGGCCTCCACTAATGGGTCATTTCAGTCTCTGACTGCACCTCCATGGTTCTGTCTTCCTTCTCCATTATCTCCATTTACAAGTCAAATGGAACCATGTTGATGCCCGGAGACTGTTTTAAGACAGCCATGAGAACACAATCTTAGCTCATTGCTGGGAACACACTATAGAGTCAACACATGGCTGCTATTATGATAAATTCACTTGTTAAACAATTGACACCAAGTCAGCTACAGCTACCCTCTCACCATTAAAACCTTGTTATTCATGGTCAGAGTGATTATCAGCTTGCTTCCTCTACTTATTAAAATAGTTGCAGGTCTTCAGCGGAGAACTCAAATTCAGGTTTTCTACAGTTGACGAGTACTTGAACATAAACACGCTGAATACACAGTAGCTAGGTTTATACACATAGAGCAGATTTTTAGGCTCCCCCCGCCCCCGCCCCGGCTCCTTGTTGTTTGAAAAAGATGGTTAGGTTTCAAGGAAGCAGCCAAGGCAGGAGAATGGGGTGATAAAATAATGATGCAATGTATATAGCTATGAAGCTGGATAGGTGATATTTACTCTCCCTCTCTCTCATTACTGCTAAGGAAGTGGGGCCTTAAGAAGTCCCTTAGATACCCTGTGACCTAGGGCTCAGTTAAAAGCAGACCTTCAGACAGCTGTTGTGTGCTGCTTTTACAGTACCGTGCTTCCCCCACCCCCGTGGGAAGTCTGCCCGCACATACTGGTGTACAGCGATGTGTCGTCCTCCTCGTCGTCCTCCTCTTCCTCCTCCTCGCGAGCATACAGGCAGGATGAGTCTTCATAGTCGGATTCATGAGGCACATTTTCTTTATTGTCATCACATTCAATCACAACAGTTGGCACTTGTCTTATTTCCGGAAGGCCCATGGGTCCTGCTTTTGTGACACCGTCACTTGAGTGCAAACCAGAGCTGTGGTAAGAAGTGGAACAGGGGACTCTCTGCTCAGAGCTGCTTAAAGAGAAAACAAAGGAAATGTACCTTAGCCAACACATCCTAGGCAGTCCTTGGAGCTGCTTTAAAATTCAGCTGTCCCTCTCTCAGAGACAAAGATCCCCCAGGCAATGTGATTCATAGCTCATCGTGTTGCCTATCCTATAACTTGTCCTTCTAGGGCAGTGCTTTCCTGATGGAGGAGGCAGTGAAACCTTGGATGGATGGTGGTGCTGGATGCACAACAACCTACAGCCACTGGATGGCGCACTTTGAACCCGTTAAAGTGGGGCTCCTCTTCCACCCACCTACATCCTAACAGGGTTAAAGACTAACTTGATCTCAAGTGAGCTATTAAGTGAGGCTCTAGTTTTAAAAATCTATGCAGCGCAGTGGCAGGGACTGAGACTGGAGAATAGTTTGACATGCTCTGGATGGAGATACAGAGGAAGAGGAGAGCTGGGATGAATAAAAGGCTGAACCCTGTGCTTGGACAGCAAGGAGGACATGGCCTCGGACCACTTAGAGGAAGGTCTTTCCCAAAGATGGTTCAGCAGGCAGTCACAGGTAACATTAGCCCAACTTCCTGCCTCACCCTCTTGGCCAGGGTTCTAAGAATGATGCTCTTGAAATCAATGCAGATTTAATACATTTTCAATTAAAAAGACAAGCTAAAGCATCCTCTATTAGACACTTGGAAAATACACGTCATTATGTGATGATCTCATAGCAATTTAGAGTCTTTCTGTATGTCCAGCAAAAATAATGGGACTATGGCAGTTGAAATATGTCATTGTTTCTTTCTTTCCATCCTCCCTCCCCTTTTCTCCCTCTCCCTTCTCCCATTTTTCTCCTCCTACTCTTTTTATCTAGTTTTGGGGGACTGAACCCCAGGCCTCACATATGCTAGTCAAGTACTCTACCACTGACATATATCTCTGGCTCAGGTAAAATTTTTATTCCTTTTTAGTGTCATCAAAAATAGAACTTGTACACACCTTTAACGATTTCTGACTATGGGAATCTCAATACATTTTTATATCAAAAAGTATTTGACATTCATAAGCAAACGGATTGTGAAGGTATATTATATATCAAAGCTTTACAGTAAAATCTTTTATCCTAGAGGATCTTACTGTGCTATAAGAAAACATGAGTTGCCTTTGAAGCTTTCAATTAGGTTTTAAGTTATTGCTGTGTCTAATTTAAATTCAATTAACTTTCTTCCTTTCACTGTTTCCAAAGGGTTGCTTTTCTCTTTGTATTTTCCACATAATTCTTCAATGACACAAATGGGAAATCCAGTTAACACCTGATGAGCTATGATGTTCAAGGCAATGGACTAAATCAGCTTAAAAACAACAATTACTGAATAGGACAAAATCATGTATTTACAAAAAAACGTAGTGTTTTATTAGAGATTAGTAGTTTGAGATGACCCATTTCCCGGCTAATTGCTTGGAAGCAGCAATGGGAGCAGCAGGTAGGTAGAACAGATGATAGACGGTCTCCAGGGTGACAAATACAATGTTTAACCATAAATTGGACTGAGTGGACACCTTACTGCTTTGCCCTTCGAGGCAGCCCCTCCTACGGAGCAAAGATAGCAACTAAATCCCCACTGTGCCTGGATTGCTTTTTGGATATCATGGTGGGGGTGGTGGGTGGTGGCAGAGACAAAAAATGTAATCCCATGGCTTGTGTTCTGTTCTACCCTTTCCTTCTCTCCTCTCTACTTTCATAATCTAATTAGCATCGTTCCTAAAAGGCATAGAGCTTAGGATAGACATCTGGGAGTTAAGAATGGGAAGCAAATAATAGATATTCTTATTTAGTGTGAAGAAATGTTGGAAGCTGGAAAACAAGAGTGCCTTCAGGCAGGAAGCTACAAAGTGAATACAAAGGAGTAAGAGAGATAAGAAACTCAACCTTATAGGCGGTGTGGTGGTTTGAATAAGGCTGGCCCTCCATAGGTCAAACATTTGAATACTTGGCCCCTAGTTGGTAGAGCTGTTTGGAAGGATTAGGAGGTGTAGCCTTATTTGGGGAGGTGTGTCCCTGGGGATGGACTTTGAAGTTTCAAAAGCTCACACCATTCCCAGTTAGCTCCCTCTCTGCCTCCAACTTGTGGATGACGATATGAGCTCTCAGCTATTGTTTCAATGCCCTGCTTGCCTGCCCATTTGCCTGCTTGCTTGAGGCTATGGTTCCTGCCATGATGGTCATAGACTGTAACCCTGTGGAACCGTAAGTCTCAACTCTAAGTTGCCTTGGTCAGGGTGTCTCTTCACAGCAATAGAGAAGTACAACTAGTATGGGTGGTCTTTGATAAAGAAGGGGCTGTGATTTCTCCTCGAAGACAAGACTGAGATCAGGAGTAGAACAGGATTCCACAGGAGGGCACCTCGCTGCACTGACAAATATAAAGTGTTCACTGTAGACTCAGAGTCTGCATAGCCCATTGGGCGGTTGTAGAACTGATGGAAGGTGGGGTGTATGTGGATGAAGTGGGGCCCTGGGAGAATGTCTTTGAAGGTTATCTTGCCCTAGTCCCTTCCTGTTTGCCACTGTCTTTGTTTCTAAGTCAGCATTGTCTGCCCTGTGTTCATGCCACCGTGATGTTTAGCCTTGTCTCTGGCTCTCAGCAATGAGATCAGTCCACTATGAACCAAAACTTCTAACACTGGACCAGAGTTTGTCATCCCTTAAACTGTGTGTTAGTTACTTTTCCTATCACTATGACAAAATACTCAATAAAGCAGCTTAAAGGTAGGAGCATATATTTTGGCTTATGGTTTCAGAGGGTTTAGTCTGTTCATGTTTTCTTGGTCCCATGTGCTTGGCTAGGACATCGTGGTGGTGGAGAGAATAGCAGAGGAGAGGTGTTTGCTTCATGGATGAATGGGAATGGGACACAGAGAGTTGGGGGGAGGAGACAGACAGAGACAGAGAGAGACAGAGAGAGCTTTAGAATGGGGAGGGGAAGAGCAAACGAATATGAATATATAAGCATATGGATATGCTTATATAAGCATATGAATATATAAGCATATGGCTAGCTTCTCCCCCTTTCTCTTTTATGCTTAGTCCTTAGCCCACTGATCTGACGGTGGGTCTTTCCCATCAGTCAATTCTCTTTGGAAACCTGCTTACAGACACATCTACAGGTGTACCCCATCAGCTATCTAGATGATTCTAAAGCCAGTCAGGTTAATAATGAAGGCAACCGCCAGAAACTGTTTTCCCCAGGTTTTTGTCAATAACAAAAGGTCCACCTAACACCTTCTCTCTCCAAGGGTGTGGGCTCTGTGGTGGCAGGAGCCACATTTTGCTGATGTTTGTGTCTGGTGCCTAGCATCATGCCAGAAACAAGTTGGACACCTATTAGTTGCTTACAGCTTCTGCAGAATAAAAGAAATATGGACTTTCATAACTGATACTCAGGTGCACTTGGCAGTGGTTGATATGCATACTCAAAGAGTATTGATTATGGCACTGTTCTGTAAGTTTCAGGGGGTCATCTAGTGGTCTATTGTGGAGCTCTAGGCATCACAGATGGGTTAGCACCTTCATTAATGGCTTAGATAAACACAGAAAAGAAATTCTAATCACATAAGGGAAAGAACCGTACAGAGAGGAGGAGGAAGGTGAAAACGGGACATTTACTGAATATTCTAGAAAAATTTCACACAGTATCCCATCTCATCTTGATAACTGCCCTGCATGAGAGATGTTATGGTGACCCTCATTTTAAGAAGCAGGAAACTGAGGCTCTGAGAAGATAATTAACTGACCTATAAATAGAAATAATGAGGGAAGAGGCCAGGATTCGAACTCACTCTGTAATAATGTTCTGAATTTAAAAACTGAACTGCGATGCTTACAAGAATGTAAAGCTTGAACACATGACTGATTAGCTGTGCCCGTAGAAGGAGGAAGACACACCATGCCTTGTCAGCAACATGTGTAAAGCATGGCATTGTTACTCACTACATGCTTTTGAGTTGTCCTACCCTTACTATGGCAGCACCATGCTGTCATCTGGCAAGATCACACTCCAGATCCTTCCAGTCCAGTTACAAAAAACAAAACAAAACAAAAACCACACACACACACACACACACACACACACAATCTCTGAACATTTGAAGTACTGTGTGTTGGGTTCATTCATAATTCTCCTTGGCCTCCTGTAGCTTCAGGCCACAGGCTGGATATGAAATGTCTTACTAATCAGGGAAGTAATAGATGAGGCCACTTCTGGGCACCAAGGTCAATGGCTCATACTGGACAATGGGCTCAGAAAGTCAGGATTTGTCCATTCACCCACTGCCATGGCTGGTTACAATAGTTCCTATTCTTGCTTCTCTGAGCAAATATCTCACAAGAAGCAACATAAGGGAGGAAGGAACTACTTTGGCCCACAGTTTTAGAAAGATGTAACCCATTGCAGTGAGGTGGGTATGGCCACACCCATCACATCGAGGAAGGTGTGTGGCCACATGAGCATGAGGGTCTTGCTCATATTTAGAACATGTTAAATACATTTTATAGACACGATAGATATTTTAATACTTATATATTTAATCAGACACTAAAACTTTTATAAAAGGTTGTCCTAAACTCATTTTAGGAACCACCAGTGACAAAGATATTTTTTTCTTTAATGGTGAGCCTTGCCAGGTTTTTTCAACATTGCTATACTTAGCATTTCGAACAAGACAGTTCTTTGCCTTGGGAACTGTTCTGAGCCTTGTGGAAGACCCAGTACTTCCACTGGCCTCTACCCACTAGATCGTGTGGAGTCTCAAGAGGATAAAAAAGGAAGTGTGTCCAAAGAGAGTGTGTGCTTCAATTACTGTGCTTTCTTCAATAGGAATCCTGCCTGCTTCCAATGCTTGACTGTTTTTTTTTTTTATTTTCTTGGTAACCATTGTCCAGAAAGATTTTTCAGGTCAAAAATATAAAACCATCCAAATGGTGGTACATGCTTATAAACCCAGCACACAGGAGTGTGA